ATTCATGTCTATGCTTAAATTAAATAATAACAAAATAATGTTGCCACGATTATTTTATAGTTACAAATACAATCTAGAAGTCCATATAGAGGCAAAGCATACCATTGATAAAAATTACAAGTGTAATGTGTGTGATAAAGTTTTCAATACTAAAAAGAATTTGAATTATCATATAGAAACAAAACATTCTCATGAAGGACCGCATAAATGTGGCCAATGTCCATCTACATTTACTCATCGTACGATCTTAAAGCGGCACATGAAAATACATACAGGCGAAAATCTATATCTTTGCAAGGTATGTGCTACAAAATTATTGTTAGTATTTTTTCTAATTTTCTCATTTGATTGTTTTTATTTTCACTTTCCTTTAATCATAAATGTATTCTGTTTCAGGAATGCGGCAAAAGATGTATTAGTAAAAGTCACCTAAACGAGCACAGGCTTGTACATAGCAATAAAAAACCGCATGATTGTGGGGTGTGTGGCAAGGCCTACAAGCGAAAACGAGATCTTAATCAACACATTCTAACTAAGGTCATTTATGATTAACGTTTTAATTCATTCGCAGATTCACAATTGTCTTTCTATTTTTGTTATATATTCGTAATCATATTATATAATAGATTACTGCAATAAGTGTTATAATCAAGTATTTAGATATAAGTATTACGTAGAAAATGTATTTTTATTTAGGTATAAGTACAAATACATTTTTTAAAATTACCTAAGTATAGATTCGGATATAAGAAAAAAATATCCGAAAACTTAGGTATTTTTTAGGTACTTAAAAAAAATGGGGAAGTAGGAAAAAAGAGAAATCAAGAAGAGGAAAAGATATAAGTAGCATAAAATGCTACATTTTATTTTATTTATTTGTTTTAATACATAAAAGAATGTCTCGATAACGTTAAGTTGAAAACAATAAGCGTTCATATATAGGAAGTTGACTTACGAGATCACTTCTCATGAGCGGGTTCATTGAGAGAAATGATTTTGTTATAGGAACAAATCAAGGGAAAAATGTGATATTTGTTAAGAAAACGATCGATTAGATACCATTGCAAATTAGTTACTATTGCAAATTAATTATTTCTCATTCCACAAATAAAAAGGAACATACAGCCACGACGCTAGGCGATTTAAACAATAGTCAATATATTTAAAATCATATAATAACGTAGACGTTTCGATCAAGATTTGACCATCACCAGTACAGAAATATTAAAGAAAATCCCAAAAATAAATATCAAAATGTCTCAAAAAGAAATACATAGAATTATAATTGCTAATAATACAGCTTTTCTCACTTATTGTACGAATTAACAGGGTAAAATATTAGGTTCAAGAAAATGACATTAAACAATATTAAATAGTTTATGAACTGTTTTTTGTTACGTATGGGATTCCTTACATGAAACAAAGTGCGACTTCATGTGTAACATACGGAATTTTCAAATACTATTTAAAATTAAGAGAGGAAATAAGAATTACATGTAGTTTTAGTGAAATTACATTAACATTATAATTCGTGACAATCATAAAAGTTTTATAATAATAAATTCTTACCACGTACTTTGTGACACAAGTCGCAAATGTACTTCGGAATAAATAATGTAAATTAAAAAACAGACATTGGAACCACTGGTACGAATTATTGTTGACAAAAATGTGAGGCCGAATACTAGCGACATTCTTTATATATTGTGAAAGGAGAGGAAATTATCTTTTTTAATAGTGATTATTGTCATAATTCTATGTATTAGGTGTAGTAAAAAGAAATCTATTATTTTTCCAACAGATGGCTTTAGTAATCTGTATCTCGTCTACGAGTGATACAGATTATTAAAGCCATCTCTATTGGAAAAATAATGGATTTCTTTTTACTACACCTAATATTTCTCTCTGTGACATCTTAATATTTATTTTTGGAACTTTTTTTGATATCTTGATATTTCTATGTACTGATGATGATCAAATTGACTGAAACGTCTACGTTATTATATGATATTAAATATATTGACTTTCGTTTAAAACATCTAGCATCATGGGTGTATGCACCTTTTTAATTATATTTTGTATTTTTAAGCCACCTTCAAACAGTTTTATTTCTCATTCGTAATGTACGTTCCAACTAGATAGGTTCCAACACTGATTCTAGTATACCACATCACATGCGATACATAAAAAATTATTTATTTTTTAGAGTCACTACCTGTCATTACATGTATGACAAAGGAAGGACAAACTATAACTGACAATGAAAGATAAAGAACAATTATAACTACTAAAAAGAACAACGAATAATGACTAATAATAATGACAAACTGATGAAAGAAGAATAAAGATGTAAATTTTGTATAAGATTTTATATGTATAAACAGAAGTCTTTCAAAAGGTGTAACTTTTCTCGGAGATACAATTGAACACTATCAGACATAGGACATACCGCCGTATATGTGAGTGAGGAACTTGGAAAAGATATTGTGAAATCACACTCCCGGAATAAAATATTTTATATATAATTATATATAATTATATAAAATTATATAAATATACATATATAATTCTATATAATTCTAATAATATTTTATATATAAATGCATATAAATATATATGATATATATGTATATGATTGTATATAAAGTAATTTTTCCCGAGATTATATAACTCTTTATTATTTAGTTGGAAAAGAGTTATGGCAAGAATTCAATTTCCATAAACATTTGTCAAGACATCAAGTGAATCGAGAAGGGTAACAATAAGTTACGTTAAGTTGCATCTATCAATGTTTACTTTTTCCGTATGTTTGTGATTATGAACAAGCACATTCAAAAGTTTCCTCCCACTAGCGAAAATAGAAATTAAGTAGCAGTATCAAATGTTCGAGGGAACTTAACTTCTGATAACATTATCGCTAATATATTAGCTAATAGTTATGTTCCTGTCTACAGCATATTATGATTGTACAATATGCGGTAGACAAGGATGAAATAATATTTACGGCGTGTGAGCATAAAAACGAAACTTATTGTTCACCTAAATGTATTAACCAACTGTAATAAAGAATCAATTATAATGCTAATTTATCCGGGTGCATCTTCAGAATACAGTCTAATTTTAATATTGGATGTACGTGCTGAATATTATTCTTATATGTATTACTAGTATGTACTATTATAAGTCGAGAAACATTAATTATATTAAAGCAATTGATATTATAGAGCATTAGTGATTGTTTTTATCCCAATTATTGAATCATCGGCATAATATTTTTATGATAAAGCCTTACGTAAGAACCTCTTGTTATAAATATCTTGAAAATAAAAAATTTCAAAAATGTTTATTTAACATTTACATGAGCAAAGAAATTTGTTGAGAATTCAGAAACGGTCAGAAGAGTGTTCATATAGCGGAAATTGCAACGCTGCAACATTTGGAAGGCTTTTTCTGATGAAAATAAGAAGTTTCATGAACCATTAGTGCTGAACGCAGGCATTTTTATAAAAAAAAAAATATATAATTTTTTGTTGAAAGTCAGATCATACCGTGCCTTTTATCTTATTCGGTTTTCTAAATGCGAGAAATCGGATTTTATTGTGTCTTTCTAATGGCGATGTTATGCACTGCTTGAATATGTAGAAGAATGTTTGCTAAATGGAAGAAAAACGCTTGAGTTATAAGATTGATGAAAACGCTTTTTGGTCATTTTTAAACCGTTTGCTTAAAAGCCTTAAACATTTACTGAAATTCAGTAATTCGCCACATTGGAACAGTGTTTGTTGAACGAAGGATAAATGCTTATTTCATAGTATTGAGAAAAGCAGTTGCTAAATATTTGAAAGTCTGACGGAAATCTCTTCACGAAGGTGCATTAGCGTTTACTGAGTCCTTTAAATAGCATTGTTTTAGCTTTATAGAACTTTTATGAAACGATACATACATACTGTAAGTGTTTATAAGTGTTTTGAAAATGTTGAAACCCAATGGTGTTTTGTAAGCATTTTTATAAAGTAAATTTGAAAACGTATAAATATTCTTAAAAAATCGTCATCAAACGGTTGTCAACGTTTCATAAAGTTCCGTATTTTTGCCAGGATATAGACATGCTATTCCAAAGGGATAAAATTCCGTTTGTCAAGAAGAACTGACTACAGTATAGTTTGCCTATAGTATCGTTTACTACATTACATTTGCTACGATTCGTTCAGGAATAAAAAAATATGTATTATCAAGATTTTATTTTAAAGATGTAAAGGTTTGTAATTAGGAATATAGTTTTTTTTTCATATCAATTTTATTTTTTAAAGAAGTAATACAATAATAATGTTTAAAAGAATAATGTATATTATGCTTATAATTGACGCAATTTGGAGATTTCATATATTATTTGTAATAAAATTATATATTTAAATTGGTTTAAATAATATAATTTTCTGGTATCATTGTTTTTTAAATGAAAGTGTAACAAAACTTGACTGAACCTTATATCATTCAAATTTTTGCTTCTATGTATAATAATTCTTTCATAATAAATAATACTCTAAATATATTAGGTGTTGGAATTAATTCGTAGCGTTTTTAATGAAAGAATGTTATTTATTTCACATGAGCATTAAAAAATACATTAATGAAAGTACTTCCCATCACTTGTAAAACGCTACGAATTAATTCCAACACCTAATAGCATTTTTAGTTTGCGGACCTCAGTATTCTCGGTTCTTGATTGGTTGCTGCTGTCGACCAATCAACAATTGAAATCAATTTCCTGCTCTGATTAGAGTGTATAAGGTCTGCAATATGCAGTGTGTACTGTTAATATGTAACGCTGTAAAATATTTTATTAATTTCAAAAAAAAAGGTCAATTAAGAAGTAATGTTACATTTTTTTTGAGTGACGATAATGAGTTATTTTTATGAGGTAATGTTGACAACCCTGTGTATATGAAATATATATATATATATATACATGTATATGTTCGATTTGTCAGTTGTTTACACGATTTCGACGTGGCTAGTTGTTAGCAAACTAATTTGAAATTCAACCGTAATAATCTTAATCTAAGCCGTAAGCATTGTATGTAAGTTTTTATATTATCAAAATTTCAATTTTTAAATTTAACGTCATTTTTTAATCTAAGCTTCATTCTAATTTTATAAATTTCTCTTTTAAGATTTAGTCTACTTTTGATGTATTATTCTATTTCTTCCCTTTTACTTTTCGGGACCGTTATAATTTTATTATAATTTTATTGCCTGGAATCTAATCTCATTATCAAATATTATAACTATTATATTGTAACTATTGCCGATTGCTTATTAAATTTTTTAATTTCTACTTAACAACATTCAAAATACGATAACTATTGTACGGTTTAAATCTTTTAAATTTTAAATCTTTCTTCCTTCATACTTAGTAATCATTTATATAATATAAGATGTTGCTTTCAACCTTGATGGCGGTTTCATATTTACGTGTTTCTATTCGTACTCATTATTCGTTTGAACGTTTAACTATTTCAACGTCTCATATTTTCAATTCTACCATTATACTTAATATTTTATTTATGTAAATTAGAAGATAATTAAAGTAACGTTTATATGTAGAATAAACATTTAAAATTACATATCGAGTATAAAATATATCAATTTAGCAGTAAAATGCATTAAAAGATGTTGGCAGACATCGAAAAAGATTTTATACAGTCCTTATTGTTAAAAAATTGTGTAAATTGCTAAAGCATATTTGATACCCACTAAAACAAGTACACTTTAATAATTCTATATCTAAATTATGAATACATCAACTGTTTTAAATTGTTACAATAATGTATTCACCTGTCATTTTCAAATTGCTTTAAGCTGTTTAATGAGAAAAGTATTTATATGGTATGTAACCGCGATCTTCTGTAATATAATTTCTTCGATAAAAAATTTATGTTATTGAGGAATTATATTTTCGTAAGGTTTTAGGTGGTTAAACTTACAAATATACACGTTCAAAAAAATTTAGACCATGGGAAGTACAAAAAAAAGTTAGGGAACGTTACAAGAAAGTTAACCGAGGAATACACCTGAAGAGTTTAAGAATTGAATTTGTAAAGAAATAGGAACATTCATCAATCTCAAGTTTAGCAATATTTCAATCGATAATCGAAGATAATGGATAATAGCATCAAAATATATGTATGCCATCATTGCGGTAAGATTTATGAAGTTCATGATTGATATTTTTAATGTTTTGCTAACTTTGTGTTATTTCAACAGTTATCTGTTTTATGTTGCTATTTTCATATTCATTTTATAACAAAATAATCTTCTTTAATTTTAAAGGTAAGCAATTTACCATTCCAATAGCTCTGAAACGACATAATAAAGAAATACATAATGAAGATAAATCATACAAATGCGGAACATGTGATAAAACATTTAAGCGTGAATATGAAATGAGTCGTCATGAAATGACTCATATAGAGGGAAAACTTTATCAATACGAGTTTTATGAACAGTATACGTGCGTATTTAAGTGAATAATAAAAATTATCTAATATAATAATTCATGTCTATGTTTAAATTAAATGGTAACGAAGTAATGTTGCCACGATTATTTTGTAGTGCAAATAAGAATCTAAAAACCCATGTAAAGGTTTATTATACCATTGATAAAAATTACAAGTATAACGTGCGTGAGAAAATTTTCAAAATTAAAACAAATTTGAATTATCATGTAGAAACAAAACACAATCATAAATATGATCAATGTCCATCTACATTTACTCATCGTGAGAACTTAAAACAGCATATGAAAATACATACAGGCGAAAATCTATATCTTTGTGAGGTATGTGCTACAAAATTATTGTTAGTACTTTTTCTAATTTTCTCATTTGATTGGTTTTATTTTCACTTTCCTTTAATCATAAATGTATTCTGTTTCAGGAATGCGGCAAAAGATGTATTAGTAAAAGTCGCCTAAACGATCACAGGCTTGTACATAGCAATAAAAAGCCGCATGATTGTGGGGTGTGTGGCAAGGCCTACAAACGAAAACGAGATCTTAATCAACACATTCTAACTGAGGTCATTTATGATATAACGTTTTAATTCATTAGCGGACTCACATTTGTCTTTATATTTTTGTTATATATTTATAATCATATTATAATAGATGACTGTAATATATTAGGTGTTGGAATTAATTCGTAGCGTTTTACAAGTGATGGGAAGTGCTTTCATTAATGTATTTTTTAATGCTCATGTGAAATAAATAACATTCTTTCATTAAAAAACGCTACGAATTAATTCCAACACCTAATACCATACCACATGCGATACATAAAAAAATATTTATTTTTTAGGGTCACTAAAGTCTTAACCTGTACAACAATCAAAGAACAAATTGCAACTAACAACGAAACAGGTAAAGAACAATTGTAACTACTAATAATATTGTCAAATAATGACTAATAATAATGAAAAACTAGCGAAAATGGAAATTAAATAGCTGTGTCAAACGTTCGAGGAAATTTAACTTCTGATAATATTATCGCTAATATATTTCCTAATACGTTTTTTATTACTGTCTACCGTATAGCATTATTATGTATAATATGCAATGACAATGGACAATGATGAAATAATATTTACGGCGTGTGAGCATAAAAACGAAACTTAAATTAAATTGACCAATCGTAATAAAGAATTAATTATATTGCTAATTTACGTGGCTGCATCTTCAAAATACAGACTAATTTTAATAATGGATGTATATGCTATTATTCTTGTATGTACTATTATAAGTCGAGAAACATTAATTATATTAAAGCAATTGATATTATAGAGCATTAGTGATTGTTTTTATTCTAATTATTGAATCATCGGCATAATATTTTTATGATAAAGCCTTACGTAAGAACCTCTTGTTATAAATATCTTGAAAATAAAAAATTTCAAAATGTTTATTTAACATTTACATGAGCAAAGGAATTTGTTGAGAATTCAGAAACGGTCAAAAGAGTGTTCATATAGCGGAAATTGCAACGCTGCAACATTTGGAAGGCTTTTTCTGATGAAAATAAGAAGTTTCATGAACCATTAGTGCTAAACGCAGGCATTTTTATCAAAAAAAAAATATATAATTTTTTGTTAAAAGTTAGATCATACCGTGCCTTTTATCTTATACGGTTTTCTAAATGCGAGAAATCGGATTTTATTGTGTCTTTCTAATGGCGATGTTATGCACTGCTTGAATATGTAGAAGAATGATTGCTAAATGGAAGAAAAACGCTTGAGTTATAAGATTGATGAAAACGCTTTTTGGTCATTTTTAAACCGTTTGCTTAAAAGCCTTAAACATTTACTGAAATTCAGTAATTCGCCACATTGGAACAGTGTTTGTTGAACGAAGGATAAATGCTTATTTCATAGTATTGAGAAAAGCAGTTGCTAAATATTTGAAAGTCTGACGGAAATCTCTTCACGAAGGTGCATTAGCGTTTACTGAGTCCTTTAAATAGCATTGTTTTAGCTTTATAGAACTTTTATGAAACGATACATACATACTGTAAGTGTTTATAAGTGTTTTGAAAATGTTGAAACCCAATGGTGTTCTGTAAGCATTTTTATAAAGTAAATTTGAAAACGTATAAATATTCTTAAAAAATCGTCATCAAACGGTTGTCAACGTTTCATAAAGTTCCGTATTTTTGCCAGGATATAGACATGCTATTCCAAAGGGATAAAATTCCGTTTGTCAAGAAGAACTGACTACAGTATAGTTTGCCTATAGTATCGTTTACTACATTACATTTGCTACGATTCGTTCAGGAATAAAAAAATATGTATTATCAAGATTTTATTTTAAAGATGTAAAGGTTTGTAATTAGGAATATAGTTTTTTTTTCATATCAATTTTATTTTTTAAAGAAGTAATACAATAATAATGTTTAAAAGAATAATGTATATTATGCTTATAATTGACGCAATTTGGAGATTTCATATATTATTTGTAATAAAATTATATATTTAAATTGGTTTAAATAATATAATTTTCTGGTATCATTGTTTTTTAAATGAAAGTGTAACAAAACTTGACTGAACCTTATATCATTCAAATTTTTGCTTCTATGTGTAATAATTCTTTCATAATAAATAATACTCTAAACATAGCATTTTTAGTTTGCGGACTTCAGTATTCTCGGTTCTTGATTGGTTGCTGCTGTCGACCAATCAACAATTGAAATCAATTTCCTACTCTGATTAGAGTGTATAAGGGCTGCAATATGCAGTGTGTACTCCCAATGAATAACACTGTAATATATTTTATTAATTTCAAAAAAAAGGCCAATTAAAAGTAATGTTACATTTTTTTTTGAGTGACAATGATGAGTTACTTTTATGAGATAATGTTGACAACCCTGTGTATATAAAAAAAAATATATATATATATACATATATGTGTTCGATTTGTCAGTTGTTTACAAGTTTTCGACGTGGTTAATTGTCAGCAAACTAATTTGAAATTCAACCGTAATAATTTTAATCACATCTAAGCCGTAAGCATTGTATGTAAGTTTTTATATTATCATAATTTCAATTTTTAAATTTAATGTCATTTTCTAATCTAAGCTTCATTCTAATTTTATAAATTTCTCTTTTAAGATTTAGTCCACTTTTGACGTATTGTTCTATTTCTTTCCTTTTACTTTTCGGGACCGTTATAATTTTATTATAATTTTATTGCCTGGAATCTGATCTCATTATCAAATATTGTAACTATTATATTGTAACTATTGCCAATTGCTTATTAAATTTTCTAATTTCTACTTAACAGCATTCAAAATACGACAAACCATTATACGGTTTAAATCTTTTAAATTTTAAATCTTTCTTCCTTCATACTTAATAATCATTTATATAATATAAGATGTTGCTTTCAACCTTGATGACGGTTTCATATTTACGTGTTTCAATTCGTACTCATTATTCATTTGAATTACGTTTAACTATTTCAACGTCTCATATTTTTAATCTAACATTATACTTAAATATACTTTTATTTACGTAAATTAGAAAAAAAATAAAGGAACGTTTATATATAGCATAAATATTTAAAATTAATATCGAGTATCACTAACGATAAAATATATCAACTTAGCAGTAAAATACGTCAAAAGATGATGGCTGACTTCGACAAAGATTACAGTCCTTCTTAAATTCCTATTAAAATGTAAAAATTGTTAAAGTGTATTCGATATATCCACTAAAATTAATACAATTTGATAATGTTATACCTAAATTGTGAATACATCACAAATGTCGTTTTAGACATTGCTTTAACAATTCACCTGTCATTTTCAAATGTTTTAAGAAGAAAGATACTGTTTAATAAGAAAGATACTATTATGATAACCGCGGTCTTCCGTTATAAAATTTCTTAGTTAAAAAATTTATGTTAATAAAGAATTATGTTTTCTTATGTTTTTAGATAATGATAAACTTAAAAATATACATCTTTAAAAAAATTTAGATCGTGAGAATTACGAAAATAATTTAGGGAACGTTACGATAAAGTTAACCGAGGAATACGCCTAAAGAGTTTGAGAATTGAATTTGAAAAAAAAAAGGAACATAATCAATCTCAAGTTTCGCAACATTTGAATCGATAGTCGAAGATAACGGACAATGCCACAAAAAATTATGTATGCCACTATTGCGGTAAGATTTATGTAGTTCATGATTAATATTTTTAGTATTTTGATAATTTTGTGCTATTTCTTTGTGTTGTCAGTTTTATTTTGCTGTTTTCATATTCATTTCATAACCATAATTTTCCTTAATTTAAAAGGTAAGCAATATATCGACTTGAGTAGTTTGACGCGACATATTGAAAAGATCCATACAAGAGAGAGAGTAGATAATCCATATATAGAAAATACAAGTGTAACCTGTGTGAAAATGTGTAGAAAATACAAGTGTAACCAGTGTGGCAAAGATTTCAGAACTCGTTTTGTTTTGTATTATCATAAAAGAACAAAACATGGATCGTTTAATTGTGACCAATGTTTAGCTACATTTACTCAATATAAGTTCTTAAAACAGCACATACGAGAAACACATTATGTTTGCGAAAAACCTTATGTTTGCGAGGTATGTGCTACAAAATTATTGTTAGTATTTTTTCTAATTTTTTGTCATTTGATCATTTTTATTTTTATCTTTCTTTAATCATAAATGTACCCTATTTTAGATATGCCGCAAAAGCTTTAGATATAGAAGTGAACTAAACGATCACCGACTTGTACATAGCGATGAAAAACCACATAAGGATGTGTGACAAGACCTACAAGCGAAAACGAGATCTTAATAAACACATTAATTTTAAGGTTATTTATGATATAATTTAATTCATTCACAGAGTCACATTTGTCTTTCTATTTTTGTTATATATTCGTAATCATATTCTATAATAGATTACTATAATAAGTGTTGTAATCAGGTATTTAAATATAGATATTACGTAGAAAATATATTTAGGTACAAATACATTTTTTTAAATTACCTAAGTATAGATTCAGGTAATAGGAAATATCCGAAAATTTAGGTACTTTTTAGGTACATAAAAAGAAAGAAAAAAAATGGGGAAGTAGGAAAAAATAGAGAAAACAAGAGGAGGAAAAGATATAAGTAGCGTAAAATGCTACATTTTATTTGTTTGTTTTAATACATAAAAAAATATCTCGATAATGTTAAGTCAAAAATAATATACAGAAGGTTGCCGACTCACTTTTCATGAGCAGGTTCACTGAGAGAAATGACTTTGTTATAGGAACAAATCAAGGGAAAACAAATGTGATATTTGTTAAGAAAACGATCGATTAGTTACCATTGCAAATTAGTTACTATTGCAAATTAATTATTTCTCATAATCAAATATTTCCATAAATAAGAAAGAACATACAGCGACGCTAGATGTTTTAAACAAAAGTCAATATATTTAAAATCATATAATAGCCTAGACGTTTCGATCAAGATTTGACAATCATCAGTACATAGAAATATTAAGGTGTCAAAAAAAATTCCAAAAATAAATATCAAAATGTCTCAAAAAGAAAAGATCGCTAGTAAAAAAGAGGATTTCCTATCCTTTTACAATATATAAAGAATGTCGCTAGTATTCGGCATCATAATTTTGTCAACAATAATTCGTACCAGTGATCCCAATGTCTGTCTTTTAATTTACATTATTTATTCCGAAGTACATTTGCGAGGACTTGTCATAAAGTACGTGGCAAGAGTTTATTATTATAAAACTTTTATGATTCTCACGAATTATATTGTAATGTTATTGTAATATCACTAAATTCTTATTTCCTCTCTTAATATTATATAGAAAATTCCGTATGTTAAACGCGACGTCGCACTTTGTTTCATAAGGATTCCCATACGTAATAAAAAACAATTCATAAGCTATTTAATATTGTTTAATTTTCTTGAATCTAACATTTTACCCCGTTAACTCGTACAATAAGCGAGTGAAAAGCTGTATTATCATCTTTTGACTAGCGATTATTGTTATAATTCTACGTATTTCTCTCTGTGACATCTTGATATTTATTTTTGGAACTTTTTTTGACATCTTGATATTTCTATATACTGATGATGATCAAATCTTGACCGAAACGTCTACGTTATTATATGATTTTAAATATACTGACTTTCGTTTAAAACATATAGAATCCTTTTTATTTATATTTTGTATTTTTAAGCCACCTTCATACAGTTTTATTTTTCATTCGTCAATGCAACAAATGATCAATAGTATCGCTAGCAAATAAAAGGCTCACATATATATAGAAGTTGTAGGTTGTAAGATCTCAAATCGTAAGAAATTGATCGATTCTAGTTAAGTATTCTCCCTATATTTGCCAGTGACTGGTCAGTTTTCCTCTTAATTTAAGACCCCACGATCATCTACGGATTTAATCGCGTCGCATGTTCCAACATGTTCCAATATGCTTCTACCATGCTCTTACTCACTCCAACGCGCTTGATAGAATGAGTAGGAGCTGTGATAGGAACATGTTGGAACATGTGAGCTTGCGACGCGAACAAATTTTATGATTTTTATAATAAAGAATCTAAAGTCTATTCAAAAGATAGATTAGGTTCTATAGTTTGCTTCTATTACTAGTGATTCGTTGGTACAGCAGACTAGTAACAATCACAAATCAATTTTATTGTCACATATTTATCGATTACTGAAAGGTACTAGTAGCTTGTTAAATTAATAAAATCCTTTCTTTCATTATCAGTGTAGAATGGACTAAACTAATAGCGTTTCTCTTGGCTGCACTACAGTGCACTCAGTACAACACTCAGACAATGTAACGTGTTTGCTTGGCTGGTGATAGGCGAACTTATTCAGTATAACATGTTTCCATGGCTATAATGTAGTACAAATTTTATGCACGAAATGAAGATTTTTCATACGAGCTCAAAGAAACGGTATAGAGCCAGTGTGACATTAAAAATTTGAAAATGGAAATCAAGGCAGCAGAATTAAGCACGATAGCATGAAGTAGTGTACACCAACATGTACACTTGTTTAATGCAGCGCTGATACAGCACTTACACGCAACTGATGTAGTGCGAGGTTACACTCAGTGTATCCCAAGAGAAAATGCTATAAATCGAAAGTCCTTTATCATTTTGCAATTTTCGTAATACTTTAGGAGATATTAATTTCTAAAAATCACCACATATATAATAAGCATATATCCGTGCGGACTACCGTCAAGTCTACGCCTATCAGTTGCAGTCGATTATCGCGCGAAGATTACTTGGTAGACATGCACTAAGCGCCATAACTCAAGCAGCGCGTCTACCAAGCAGTCACTACTTCCCGCACAATAAGCGATCGCGATCAATGGGCGTATATTTGGTGGTAATCCGCGAATACGTGCTCCGTGATATTTAGAAATTTATATATCCTGAAGTAATGCAAAAATTTCATAATGGTAAAGAACTTTTCGAATCACAAGGGAAGTTTCACAACTGTCTCGAACCGATTTGATTCTCCATGAAATATGTTGTTAAACACGAAAATCTAAGAAACGTATTTTTTTATACTTGCCCTAAATCATGTTTAAGATGTGAAACACCTCTTTGAAAAAAAACGGTATTTCTCTTTTGAGACGAATATCGTCGGAAATATAAAAGATGGAAAAAAAATTTTTTAAACAAAAGTTGTACGGTTTCAAGAGTACTTCAATACTGTGAAGAAAAAAATTTAAAAAAAATTTTTTTTTAACAATTGTTAAATAAAATAATTAAAAAATTCGTTTTCTTTTCAACATTTAAGTACTATTGATATATATGATTTATAGTACAGTATAGTAAAGATGATTTATGGTAGATATAATAAACAAAAATTAAGTTTCTAATATAATAAAATGAATAAGTATCTTATATCTAAAACTTAAAACATACTGTATTCAAAAATAACTAGATATGGATACGAGTATATCCATCAAAAATCTAGATAATGCACTTAGCTAAAGTATCTAGAAACTGTATCTAGATTATTTACCTAGATACGTTCCAACACTGATTCTAATATACCACATCATATGCGATACATCAAAAATTATTTATTTTTTAGAATCATCGCATATATCACGAATGAATAAACTGTAACTGACAACGAAACAGATAAAGAACAATTATAACTACAAAAATAACAACGAATAATGACTAATAATAATGACGAATGAATAAAAGAAGACTTGGTGAAGATTAAAGATGTATATTTTATATAAAATTTCATATATATAGGCAGAAGTCTTTCAGAAAATATAACTTTTCTCGGAGGTACAATTGAACATTGTCAGGCATACCGTCGAGTAAATGAGTAAGGAACTTGGAAAAGATATTGTGAAATCATTCCCGGAATAAAATATTTTATATATAATTATATAAAATTATATAAATATACATAAAATTCTATATAAATTCTAAGAAATATATATTTTATGTATAAATGCATATATATGAATATATATGATATTTATATATGATTGTATATAAAATAATTTTTCCCGGGGTTATGTAACTCTTTATTATTTAGTTGGAAAAGATTTATGGCATGTATTCAATTTCCATAAACATTTGTCAAATCATCAAGTGAATCGAGGTAACAATAAGTTACGTTAAGTTGTATCTATCAATGTTTACTTTTTCCGTATGTTTCTGATTATGAACAAGCACATTCAAAAGTTTTCTCCCACTAGCGAAAATAGAAATTAAGTAGCAGTATCAAATGTTCGAGGAAACTTAACTTCTGATAACATTATCGCTAATATATTACCTAATAGTTATGTTCCTGTTTACAGCATATTATGATTGTACAATATGCGATAGACAAGGATGAAATAATATTTACGGCGTGTGAGCATAAAAACGAAACTTGTTGTTCACCTAAATGTATTAACCAACCTGTTCTCATTATCAAATAGATTATTACTATTGTTGATTGCTTATTAAATTTTCTAATTTCTACTTAACAGATTTCAAAGTATGACAAACTATTGTACAATTCATTCTAAATCTTTCTTTTGTCATACTTAATTATTTATACAAGATGTTGCTTCCTTGAAGAAGATTTCTTATTTACATGTTCCAATTCGTATTCATTGTTCGTTTGAATTACGTTTAACTATTTTTCATATTTTCAATCTAATGTTATACTTAATATTTTATTTACGCAAATTAAAAGAAAAATCTAGAACCATTCATATGTAGAATAATTTTAAAATTACATATCGAGTATCACTAACGATAAAATATCAACTTAGCAATACAATGCGTTAAAAGACGATGGCTGACTTCGACAAAGATTCTATACAGTCCTTATTGTTAAAATGTAAATTGTAAAGTGTATTCGATATCTACTAAAACCAGTTTGTCAACTCTATACCTAAATTGTGAATACATCGGCTGTTTTAGACATTGTTTTAATAATGTATTCACCTGTCATCTTCAAGTATTTTAAGCTGTTTAATAAGAAAAGTAATTATATGTTAACCCCGATCTTCCGTAGTAAAATTTCTTCAATAAAATATTTTTGTTATTAAGGAATTATATTTTCTTATGGTTTTAGGTGGATAAATTTAAAAATATACACGTCCGAAAAAATTTAGACCGTGAGAATTACGAAAAGAATTTAGGGAACCTTACAATAAATCTTAACCGAAGAATACGTTTAAAGAGTTTGAGAACTGAATTTGAAAAAAAAAGAGAACATCCATCAATCTCAAGTTTTGCAACATTTCAATCGATAGTTGAAAATAATGGATAATGACACAAAAAAATATGTATG